GGCACCACATAAGCCATTGTTATTATTATACAGGATTTATATAGCGCCAACAGTTTGCGCAGCGCTTTACAATATAAGGAAGACAATACAATTACAATACAATTCAAGACAAGATGGTAAGGACGGTACTTGGACGTACCAACCATGGAAGGTAAATAGTCCCAAGAACAAGGCAGGAGCTTCAAGACAAGTATAAAAACATAAAACCCCAACTTAAACAGTATATCAGAAGTAACCTTCAATATAATACATTATTCTTATCTTGTTAAATCAAATACTTGTTATATTTGAGTAGTATTTTGTGTTTGTACTTTAATACTTGTCCTGCAGCTTCTTTCTTCAGGTTAGGATCCAACAAACACAGAAGACGCCTAGCATTGAGCTCCCCAAACACTGATAATCTGGGTAAATGGCAAACATTGATTTGATTAGTCTCAGCACCGCAAGTAGAAAGGCGATAGTCACACCTATGCACATGTGTTGGCCCATTCATCTTCTATGGGCCCAACACATCAAAACGCATAACTTATCTGTCCCCAAAGCAGCACGCTGCACAGCATGTGTATTCACAGTTGTGTTTTTAATGATCAGAGGCTTGTTTACTGCGTTGACCTGCATTGGGGCCCATTACACAGCACACAAATAACAGTCTAATTGTACTAATTAGGCTGAAAAATTTAAATTTATTGGAATATAAATTGTAATGTGTAGCTAGCTGTATTATATTATCTTCCTAAATGTAATTAATTCCAACCTATTAAATCACTTTTATATCACTCCATCCAATTTGTTTGCCTACACTGGATCCCAAATGAGCAGACATGTTGGTTCCTTGCAATTCTGAATGAGCAGATTGCAATGAATGTTGTCAGCTTTTAGATCAATGAGGTGCACACTATACCTAAGCTTAGAGTAACACCTCAAAGTCGGACCTTACTGCAGGATTTTCCCAACAAGTACCTAATGAGCCCCACCAGGGTCATATGATTCAGACCTCATTATGCATAATCAGAGGGGAAAAGGTCATGTTTCTGTAAGGGCCCATTCACACAAGTGAGCTGTTCTAAGGCATTTTACCATGCGTCACTGCAGCGCATGAATACAGTACAACGCCATTTGTTATGAATGGCACCCCAACAGACAACATACTAATGTTTACCATCTGGGCATTGGGGTGTGCTGCATTGTGAAAGCTGCTGATTTTCCAAACAAGTACCTAATGAGCCCCACTGGGGTCATATGATTCAGACCTCATTATGCATAATCGGGGGGGGAAAAGAAGGTCATGATTCTGTAAGGGCCCATTAACACTAGTGAGTTGTGGTAAGACATTTTACCATGCGTTACTGCGGCGCATGAATACAGTACAGTGCCATTTGTTATGAATGGCACCCCAACACACAACATAGAAATGTGTATCATCTGTGCATGATGTGCTGCATTGTGAAAGATGCCAATTGGCAAATTAACGTGTTGGCTGTCCATTCAGAATGAATAGGCTGCCTAACACAACACACTAGTGCAATGTAATAATTCATCTGGCTTATAACCAAAAACAAACAGGGGTCTAGAATTAGGAAGAACTGCCCCGGTAATAGTTGTTGAGGACCAGGTTTGGGCAAAACTTCCCAAATCTGGAATAATGTGCAATACATGTACACAAGAGGGGCATTCATGAAGGAATCAGTCAGAAAATTATATGTGACAGGTTTTTTTGTGTATTTGGAAAATCTGCGCCTCGAATTCTGGGCACCCAACTGACAAAAGGTTTACGATAGATTTAGCACTATAGGCGGGACAGAATGTCTCTTCAGAGGCACAGAGATGGAGTGGTCAGCGGCAGGTTTTACTGTGTCAGTGTTGCATTAGAGCAGCAGAGGGAGGAGTTTATAAATCAAGCTGCATAAATGGCTCACAGATCCCCTTGCAAGTAACAAAACGGCTAGACAAACCCTGGGCCTTCAGCTGTGGTGAAACTACAAATTCTATCATGCATCTGCCTCTGAGAGTCCTATCTGTGGTTGTCAGTCTTGCAATGCATCATGGGATTTGTAGTTGAACAGCTGAAGGACCAGTGTTTGCCTACCCCTGGTATAATACATTTATATTTGTAATATGTTCGTGATTAAGAAGCTGCACCCTGCTGGAGAGCCGGACAACCCCTGCAGTTTTACAATCAACACTGCTTGAGGAGTATGAGCATTGTTGAGGGGAGTACCATGCAGGAGTCTAGCTGTGTAACAGAAGCCATCTAGCATGGTGCCATGCACCGGGCAGCTTCTTACCCCTTTAAGCTACATTAACATGGGCAGCTAGACTGCAGTGTTGTGATGTGGCTAAACACTGCAGCGCTCTGACCTATGGTTGCATACAAGCTGGCTGATTAGCTTTGATTAGGACTACCGTCCCTGGACGCAAACGGCCTGTAAGAGGCCCTTTTTGCATGTAACCACTTAGCGGTTACTTTCCAACAGCCCTTGACTTTTTTTTTACAGGGTAAGGGCACGCAAAGTGTGCATAGGGTTGAAGTTTCTCCATCGGCAAGAATCCCTGATTAGGGCTGCAACCAACTAATCGATAATAGTTGTCAACCAGTTGTTATCGATTAGTTGGGGGGGGGGGGGGGATTTTATTTGATGCAACTAATCTATAAAATAATCAGGAAACTGACTATGAAAATAATCGTTAGCTGCAGCCCTATCCCTGATTCTTGTCTTCCAAGATCCTAATCACCCATGTGAAAGTAGCCTTAATCACCTGTACAATAAATCCATATTCTCTGCATGTTATGCAGTGTGACTGCATAACAAGTATAAAAGCAAGACTTCAGTCAGGCTTTATGTTAAACAAGGTGCTAGGCACAGCAACCCATAGCCACCATATTTCAATTTGCTGCAATCAAAGCAGAAGATACACTTGGGTTCCATTTCTTCCTGCACTCTGGACCCAACTTTTAATAGACATTCATACAGTATAAAAGTGCAATAATGTGACGTGACCCTCATCAACCAGACACCAGCTTCATTATAGTGCCCATTGAATGTACAGAAAGCTGAATTCTGATTGGTCAGCGCTCACGGACCTGTTCACCCAAAACGCTTTAAATAAGAAAAAATAAATTAGAATTCCCCACCCAGGCCACTAAATGACAAGAAACAAAGGAAACTTTTCAAAATATTTAATACGTGTTAAACACGTAGAAACGTCATTTTATACAGAAATCCAGGTTACAGCATTGTGCATTAAAAATACTGTAAACTCCGTGGTAATCGCTTCTCGCCAGAAATCCCATCTTCTAAAACAAAGGCAGGAGATCCGGCTAACGTGGACAGAGCTGAATGTATCACAAGCACCAAGTCTGACGGAGCTTTCAACAAATACATATACAATATCATCATAGGGCTTCTCGGCTCCCTATATTAACAAAGAAACACGTATTCACTTCCTCATGCTTCAACAGTTCAGCCATTGTGTCTGGTATTGGGAAGCCGGTACCGGCAATTTTGTCTGTGCACCAAAAATTGGAAAACATCTTAAGCTTTGAGGCCAGATTGAGATTTCTAAGGAAGCGGAAAACTGAAAATAAAATCCACAGTGATTATGAATTAGTTGAAACCGCAGGCTGGCAGGAAACCGATCCAAGACTGCAGTAAGAGGGATTAACCCTGGAGGAAAAAAAAAATACACCCCTCTGGTGCTCGTGTTGTCAGTCGTTTGGTATTTTACACAAGTCAGGACATGTAACAGGAAGGAGTGGCTGTGTAAACTAAAATTGCGGGCCCCAGCACACAATGAGTGGGAGAGGGGTAGTGTAAGCAGATGGGAACTTCCCTTCCCCCTCCCTAAATGGGGAACTCCCCATGCACGTGGTGGCCAAAAGACAGAAGTGGGGGATGGGGAGACATTCTTGGAGGGGGAGGGAAGTTACGTGGACAGATGTGAACTGGGGAGGGGGAACTCGGCTCCCAAGTGTTCAGGAATTACTTGTATGACTAAAGATAAAACATTTCTGGTGCAAGACAAACCACCCCACCTCCCTTACAAAAAAAATAACCCTTTTCATTTTCAGAGCTCAACACACAACCGATGCCAGGAGGACCTTCAATGATTCTTTAAAATAAAATTCAATGTAAAAAAAACATTTCTTTTCAAGGATCAATCCACTTAAAACTCCTGTTTTCAATAGACAAGTTAGTTTTATGTTGTGGGGAATCTAAAGGACATCAGGAGGAAGCCTTTCCCTCATTACATCACAAGAGTAATGCTTGCCATAGACCCACCAATTCTGACCATCTTCATTCAGCAAAAAATGATCACGCACACCAAGGAAACCTATAAACCGCCTCTCTTGGTGGAAGGTGCCCTTGATCTATTTGGTCATTTTAGCAAAGTTGGTTGAAAATTGCCAAATGTGTGGACAGCAATGGACTCCTGCACCTACCTATGACCACCCAATGGGAAGAGAGCCTGAACTACAAGATCTAGCTAAGTATGGGCCTAACATTGGACCCCTATGACCACCCAATGGGAAGGGAATCTGAATTACAAGACCTAGCAAAGTGTGGCCAGCACTGGACTGCTCAGACCCCAACATTGGACTCCAATGACCACCGAATGGGAAGAGCATGAACTACAGGACCTAGCCAAGCGTGTGGCCAGCACTGGACCCCTCAGATCTCTACCACCCCACATACATGAACTACAAGACCAGGTCTTTGGTGAGTGGACTCCTGTAACCACCCCATGGATAAGAGCCGGGAACTAGAAGACCAAGCCAAGCATGTGGTCAACATTGGGCTCCTGGGGCCATCAATGGGAAGAGAATCTGAACTACAAGATCCTATCCAATTCCCCTCAACATAAAAAGCCTGTCTCCTTACAGGTCTCCAGTTTTAGGTGGATCTACCCTTTAACCCGTTCCCTGCCAAGGTTGGCAAGAAAAGGGTTACCCGCCCCCCCCTGGCACCGGAAAGGGGCAAAATCATGATGGGAACTCGTTCAACGCCCCTACAGATCCGAAATGTCTTAATGCAGACTAACAGGCATCCAACCCACAAACATAGAAAAACACGATAACGACATGGCTCCGGGTCAGGCCAGCTCTGGCGATCTTCTCCCACCAGGAGGGAGACCCTCTGGGCAGACAACGCTCTGTAGCTCCCCCTAGTGTCTCTAGGAAGGTGGGTCAAAGTCCAGTCCTTGCTCTCATCAGCCATCAAAAGGCTTCTATGGCCGTGCTCCACGGTGTGATGCTGGAGCTGATGGCAGGTTCACTGCAGCTTTGTCCTGCTGGGGAGTCCAGCTCCTGCACCTCCTGTGCGGGCTCCTGGCCCTCCTCTGTCCCCGGCTCCTTAGTGAGAAGTCCCGAGAAGCTGGAGCCGAAGATGCTGATGAGGTTGGCCACATTCTCCGTCTCCATCTCCTCCTCGGCCTCCTCTGCCGGCTCCGGCACCTCCTGCTCTCTCTGTTCCCGCCTGGCTCGCTTCATGGCCGGCCCATCCGGCGCGCTGCCCCCGCTCCTCTTCCTGCAGCACGGGCTCGGGGGATCGGGGTGGCTGGCCTCGGCTTCAAGGCTCGGACAGTCA